CATCCGCATAGAAGAGATGAGATACCACCAAAGGATCAGACTCCACCCCTACTGCAAAACCCGACAACAAACCCCCACGAATTGCTGTACAAAGCAGTTGGCTCAAAGCTTCCATAACCAGAATAAATAAAAGTGGAGACAAAGGGTCACCTTGCCATAAACCCCGCCAAGTAGGAACGAAGCCCGTCGGGGTCCCATTAACCAAAACAGACATTCGAACAGTAGAAATACAAAAATGTATCCACCTCCTCCACCGTTCCCCAAAGCCTATCCTCTCTAACACATACAACAGAAACTGCCAATTGACATTATCATAGGCCTTTTCAATATTCAACTTGCAAATAATCCCCTCCTTACCCTGTTGAAGCCGCGAATCTACACACTCATTTGCTACAAAAATATCATCCAAAATCTGCCGCCCACCCACAAAAGCATTTTGAGACTCTGACACCACCCCCTCCGACACATCCCGAAGACGATTAGTCAAAACCTTGGCCAATAACTTGTAAACACTACCCAGTAAACTGATGGGCCGAAAGTCGCGAATATCCTCCGCACCTCCCTTCTTAGGGATCAAGGCTATAAATGTAGCATTCAGACTTCTCTCAAACTGACCCGTCTAATGAAATTAGTCAAACATAGCCAACACCTCCCCCTTTACCACACCCCAACAATGCTGAAGAAAACCAATAGAAAAACCATTCGGGCCTGGCGCCTTGTCTCCATGCATACTCCTTAATGCCCCCAAGATCTCCTCCTCTGTAAAAGGTCGCTTCAGCAACAAGCCATCCACCTCAGAAATAGAATCAAAGACCATTCCATCCAGCCGTGGCCTCCAATCCTCTCCCTCATCACGAAAAAGAGGCTGGTAGAACCCTACAATACCCTCTTTGATGGCCTCTTTGGACAATAGCACCACCCCATTCACCCAAAGCTTCCCGATCTAATTCACACGCCGATGAGCATTCGCCATGCGGTGGAAAAATTTTGTATTTCGATCCCCATCTTTCAGCCACAAGCACCTAGATTTCTGCCGAAAACTAACCTCCTCCATTCGAGCCACCCTCGCATATTCCACTCGAGCTGCATCCTTACAAACCACATCTTCCTCAGAAAGGCCCCCCTCGGCTTCCTTCTCGTCCAACCTTGACATAACTGACAAAATGTTTGCCTTTTGAGCCTTTACGTAACCAAAAACCTCTACATTCCACCTTTTCAGATCAACCTTAAGAAGTTTCAATTTCTGAACCAATCTACAGCTTGGCGTCCCTCTCCCATGATAACTCCCCCACCAAGCCCCCACTCTCTAAGAAGCCCTCTGCTGGTAACCACATATTCTCAAAACGAAATGGCGACGGCCCCCGCCGAACACCCCCACTATCCAATGAAAGTGGCCAATGATCAGAAATTGGCCGAGGCAACCTTAACTGAAGCATCTGAGAAAAATGCTCCTCTCAATCCCTAGAAACCAAGAATCTATCAATCCGAGAACTTGCCTGGCCGCCAGACCAAGTATAACCCCCCATTGCAAAGGCAAGTCCACTAGCTCCAACTCGTCAATGAAGGAAGAAAAAGCCCTCATGGACCCTAACACCTGACTTCCCATTGACTTCTCTGCCAGACTCCTCACCACATTAAAATCGCTTGCCACACACCAAGGCACCCCCCATCAGAATGCAACATCCTGCAACTCCTCCCAGAAAGCATGCCTCGCCAATCCTCGAACAGGGCCATAAACCCCAGTAAATGCCCACTGATAATCATCCTCAATGCACCGAAATAAACAAGACAAGGAAAACCCCCCCACATCTTCCCCCTCCTTCACCACTACTCTACTATCCCAACAAAGAAGGACACCACTAGCCACCCCTACAGCGGGTTGAAAAGCCCATTCCACATGCCTCCCACCCCAAAGGTCCCAGGCGATCTCCACCCCGACCACCTCCATTTTGGTTTCTTGCAGACACACCACATCCGCCTTAGCACTCTGCAATACGGACTTAACTACTGTTCACTTTCCTTTCTCATTCAAGCCCCGTACATTCCAAGTCAAAATTTTCAAACGCATGGCAACAGAAGTGGACCACCACGCACCTTCCTCAATCTGCTCTCCTCCCCCGGAAGTCCTCGGTCGTAATTGACAGAACACTCCAGCCTCCTTAACTCCCGTACCCCTTTATCCTTTGGGCCTACCACCTGTGCTTCCTTTGCTCCCCGGTCACCCCCTTTCCAAGAGGACTCAATTGTAGTGAACAACTTGAGTGCCTCAGCCTCATGGCCTTCAAAAGAAACACCCAAAAATTTACTAACCTCATTAATACGGGAAAGGACCCATTGCGATACCTCCTCTGAGGTCGGGATCTCACCCCCCTAAAAAACCTCTCCTGTTTCATAAGCAACCTTCTCAGCCACAACATCCCCTACCTGTTCCCCAACACACCCCATGTTAGGTCAGACGACCAACGCCAGTTCGTCGGTCATGGTTGCCTAGCGAGCGTCGTTCACACTCCCCACTAGCTGTCGACTCTCTTGACAGGCCCTTGCCTCCTGGATTTGCTCCTCTGCGAATCAGCATTGACAGACTCAATCGACGACTGTGGGCTCACTGATTGACTACTGGCACCCCTCTCCTGAGCTTGCATGTCCTTCGACGAGGCACCCAAGCCACTGTTAGTCTGACGAGGCTCAAACCTGTTATGAAGTGATGCAAAAACCCGATTAAGATCTGGGTTGATTTGTAAATGCGACTGGGAATCAGCATTGACAGACTCAATCGACGACTGTGGGCTCACTGATTGACTACTGGCACCCCTCTCCTGAGCTTGCATGTCCTTCGACGAGGCACCCAAGCCACTGTTAGTCTGACGAGGCTCAAACCTGTTATGAAGTGATGCAAAAACCCGATTAAGATCTGGGTTGATTTGTATTTGCATGGGTTGAGCTAAATCTCTTCCCTTTGGACTTAAAACACTCTCGTGGTGGCCCACACAGGGCTCTGCGCAAACTAGGCCCACGTCTGGTATAGAATTAACTGTGGTCCATCGTTGCTGGCCCATTGAACCTCTCATAGCCCTCTGGGCCTTGTCCAGGCCCAACTGTCTCCCATGAAAAACCCGTTTTGAACCCAATTTGCTGCGCAACTGGGTTTGAAGCCTAAACCGACCCTAATGAACCCTAGAATTGAGTTGTCCCCCAAATCTTTGTAGATATTCCATCACCCACACACTCTTCGTTAATCTACGAACCAGACGCCGTGAATCTCCTCCTTCTATATACGTGCGATGGTCAACACCAAACACCACGATCGGTGCGACAGATTCAACCGTCGGCCTAACCTCCTTCCATACCGGCAACGAGTATTGCCACGAGTCCCACCGGATGGAAACAACCGACAGTATACTCTCCGATCCTCTCACACAGAGACGAAGGGAACCCAGATCCGTCGATGACTCATCCGCCTCCATGAAGTCGCTACACTGGTCGCCGAATACTCGATAAACCTCATCTCCACGAAGATGGAGCGGCAAACCCATCACTCAAACCCAAACCCGCTTCGTTGGCTTCGACATCTGCCCTAAAGTGCAAAGTGCCAGAGGAGTCCACCAATCCAACACCAACTCATGGCCATCAACGATCCATCGCCAATGCATAAGAGCCTCTGCTTCGCTTCTGGTACGCAGAGCAAACAAAAATGCTTGATCACCAAGCAATTGCACCTCCACCTACCTCGAAGCTTGCCACCATTGATGGACCCAGTCAAAAATAGTCGCAAAGCTCAGTCCTTTCCCACCCATCTCCCAAAGATGGCCCACCAGCGATCTATCCAAAATTCGAAACCACTCGACCTCCACCAGCGTATGAACAACCTTGACCACACTCGACACACCGTGATGTGCCACTGCCGGTGGCCTAGATGTAGGCGGTGCCTGCCCCTGCACACCACCAAGTCGCCGGCACCCAACTATCCCTTAACCTAAAACCCTCAATAACCAGCACCACATCCTCTCACCCATCACCGAAATCAGACATTGGAATGAAAATCTGGTCCCTTCGCTTCCCCACCGCCACCACTATTTGGAACGAAGAACCACCCTTTGCCTCTCCACGAACCCAAACTGCGACACTACGGTTGCCCCCACTAAGACGTCCCAAAAACCTGAAGGTTCCTGGATTCGAAGAGGCCACCCGCATTTTTGCCACAATCCAACATACTTCATAGCCACTCAACACTATAGCTCTTCTGAGGCCCTGAACCCTCTCCACAATTGATATGCTCCGACGCCCAATTGCATCCATCGACGAATCCTCCAGTTCAAAAGGCCAACCACCGAGAAAAAGAATTCGCTAGTGTGGTCCAACCTCTTTTGACACAGGTAACATTATTCCCCCCTAAAATCTCGGAGCCATCAGCCCTTGAGTAAACGTTCAGCTTTCAACTAACTAACTTGATAGAATATGAAAAAAAAAAAAATTTACACAAAAATGTTATTCTGAAGAGTTGAATTCAAATTCATAGGACTTTTCTGTTAGCTCCGGTGCCTTTTCGAAACTCCCATTTTTCCGACGACTCCTCCAGTTCAAAAGACCAACCACCGAGAAAAAGAATTCGCTAGCGTGGTCCAACCTCTTTTGACACAGGTAACATTATTCCCCCCTAAAATCTCGGAGCCATCAGCCCTCGAGTAAACTTTCAGCTTTCAACTAACTAACTTGATAGAATATGAAAAAAAAAAAAAATTTACACAAAAATGTTATTCTGAAGAGTTGAATTCAAATTCATAGGACTTTTCTGTTAGCTCCGGTGCCTTTTCGAAACTCCCATTTTTCCAAAGCCCACTAGTCCAGTAAAAACTGTCACGTCGCCAAACAACCAGTTGGTTGGCACCACTAGGGTCTACTCTACTCCCAGTTTGAAAGCCCCTGGATGAGGGACTACCTTACTTGCCCATAAAGTTAGAGTCCAGCTCTGTCCCGTCTTGATATTCATGCCTAGTTTCATATCAGGCAGTAGATTGTTTTGTCGGATAATCAAAACTTTGCCACAAGATTGACCCAAAGGTACCACTAGTATATTCCTCTCGCAAGACCAATTTGCCAGAATCTAACAGAGTGGCAGTTACATTGCTCATTAATGTTCCCAGTGCCTGATCAGAGTTTATAATAATGTCCTGTCCGTTGGCATACATGATTTTCAACTTGCCATCGCTGCCCATCGTAATCACTCCAGAAGAATTGGTTACTGGAATGTGCCGGTTGGCCAACCACACCGCGACATGTGATACCCTGTCGTACCATATTGCCAAGTAACAAGAACCAGATGATCCAGTGTTGGTGGAACTCGATAGAGAGGGGCTAAGGAAGCCTAACCTGAAGACAGCTTGAACAGAAATGAGTTGCTCCCAATCCTGGAGCTGTTGGCCGGGCCTTATAGAATCTGTTGCTGCATAGGTAAGATAGGGATATATTGCCATGTAGAGGCATGACAATGTTAGAAGGATGAGGCTTCCAGGAGACATGTTAGGATAAATGTGTAGTTGCTAATAATCACTCACAGGTTTGTTTTCTTCTTTTATATTTGAAGTTTGAGGAACTTGCTGTAGAAACAATAAGATCAATGGGTCCAAGTGTGCCCAACATTCAACTTTTGAATTCAAGACTCCTTAGGCTAGAAAATTCTATAGGTCACATTCTCATGGAGTTTGAGATTGTGAAAAAGTGTCAAACGTCTGATTAATATTAATTTAATTTACTAACATGTTAACATCCTACCTAGTGCAAGAAAAAAGAAAAAAAATAAAGTAGCAGTTCTCCCTTAAATGCATATGAAAAATGCTTGGAAGCTCTAATTGAGTATCCCTAATTCACCTCTAATGATATGAAATGGACTCCACTCCTCACTCCTTATCCTTCCTCTCTCTCTATTTCTTTATTCTCTTTCTTCCATCTCATTAGAAGTCAAAATAGAAATGATAAATTAGAGGGATGTATCACTAGTCAATGCACAAAAAAGATAATTATTAGAAAAACATGTTAGTAAATTAACCAAAGAGAGAAGATAAAAAAAAATTATTGGAAAACTAAGGGCTTGTTTGATTGTCTTCATACTTTTATATTTGTATTTTTTTTAAGGTAGAACACACAAAAATTGTTTGGCAAACTGTATACAAAAACCATTTTTGTACAAAAATAAAAATATGGGTGTTTTTGAAATTTCTTTGTTCTTATTTTTGAATGCACAATAAAGATAAAAGCATTGCTATTCAGGTTCAAAAGTTGGACTCAGTTTCTATCAATCATTTTCTTAATACATCACCGAATCTAAAAATTGTGTCTAAAATGTGGGCATGTATATCATTTTCCTAGCGTTGTGTTTGATTGGGAGATTTGGTGAGGGATTTGGAAAAGGAAAGGAAAAAGGTAGGTGAAATGTGAATAAAATATACATATATGTTACCTAATTTCACATATCTTTTCATTTTTCATTTCTAAATTCCTACCCAAATCTCTCAACCAAATATAGCATAAAGGTCAAAAGGAAAATGAAGAAAGGGAAACTTGGACTACAATCAGCAAGGACCCCTTTCCATATTTTGCCAAGATGAGATTGAATTTGAAAGAGAAGACATCTCTCTCTCTCTCTGTCTCTCTGTCTCTCTCTCAAACCATTCTCTTTTCTTATGTACTCAATCTCTCCATGCTAAATGTTATCTGGTCAAGTTTTTAAATTTTTGACTGATGATTTGTTGGCTTTTTTGGCTTTCGAAAGCTAAAAATGTAATTTAAACGTGCCAACAACGATCAATAGGTCCTTACAAAAATAATAAATACCAACCAATTAATTAGACAATTGTTTCGAAGTTTTTTTAGCCTCAATGAAGAGGACTTTTACTGGTGGCTTGTTTTTAAGAGAAAATTTAAAAGAACTAATCACAATAGTAAAAGGAGGAGGAAGAGAATAGTGTCAGAAAATAAATTTCATTAAGTAAACAAACGTTTACAATTATACCTTTGCATTTCCACAGCTCCGAAGGGGATTACAGCAATGAACAACTAACTTAGAACTACTCCTAAGAAACTGAAATTCAGTGCGGAAAAGTAAAGGACTAGAAGATAAAGAACTTTAAAGTAAAGAACTGAAAAAATGTAAGGTAAAATAGACTAATTTTTGAACTGTAAATGTAGCCATCAATTGCTATTTATAGGAAAAACTTCCAACAATAACTACCTAATAACTACCTGAAACTACTCACTCTTCCACCTTCATTCCCACAATGCTACATATATCTCCATGTCTTCCACTAAGTCACTTTGTCCATCATATTCTTCACATGTGTTTTAACTTCTTCCACCTTGTCTTCCATGTTCCACCATGCGAGACCACTAACTTTGTAACTTCTCTTAACTCCTGATTGATCAAGAAAGTGCCACATGTCCTACAATAATAATAATAGTGATAATAATAATATTACTATTTATGGTGTCAACATTACCCCCTGCGGCACTTTAAAAAGGATGTTTATTTGAATTTTTAAATAGCCGAACCAAGCACAGAACTGATATGAGTAATAGAGTGCTTTGAATACCACACCAGCACCAACGAAGTGCTTCGAAGGGACACTACACTAAAGGCATATGCTTCGAATTCAATATGAGTGCTTCAAAGTGATCAATTCAAATCAAGAAGCACCAATTTGATTTGGACACAATACATACCAATCATGTTTGGTATAAGTCCTGAGTAGAAGCTTTGTACTTTCTTAGGTGGCAAGTTCAAAATTTCAACATGAGACACCAATTTGTAATCAATGAATGCATGCACTCACTGTGTCTGGTAACCAAAAATCATGGTTAATACTTCAATGACATGGCGACACTACTATGTTCATTATAAAAAACCTCTTCGAAGCTCTTTCGAAATCTTTCAAAGCTTCTCTAGCACCCTTTGAAGCTTAGTAGAAGGTTCATTCTAAAGAAAGACATATTAAAGTTTCTTTGGAGCTACTTTGAAACTAATTCAAAATGCTTAGAAGCCACGTCGAAATGATTCGAAGTTTACCACCATGTAAAAGTAGCAAATGTCTCACTTGACAGTAGCCAACATATCATGGCAAAAAATTATGAGACGTCTCGAATTCTTGAAGAGTCGTAATTCAAAGGATGAAAGCTATCCTTAAAAGGTATTACTAAAGGGCCAAAATCATCCTTCGAAGGTTGAAGGTGCCGACAAAGGAGTAATTACATCCTTGGAAATACTTGACAAAGCTTCGAAGGTTTAGAACCACCATTATTTTTTTCTTCGAAGTTGTTGTTGATGCAAGATGGAGTGCTTCGAAGCTAAAAAATTATGGCAAAAGGGCTTTCGAAGCATACACGTTAAACAGGAACAAAGCCAAAATAATAGTTGTTTACATATCCACTTCAAAAACAATCTGGAGTATAAAAACGTCATGTCTAATACATAGCAAAGACCAGCTTTTGGTCAAGAATGATGGTTTTCACATTGCATGGTAGAAAACAATAACATGTGAATTCATTGTATTTTCTACAGAGCTTCTTCTTCCTTGGCCAACTATAAATTTGTATTGGCGACTATTTCACATATAACCATGAAAATAGCCTGGACCATTTTTATTGGTCATTTCCATGCTTTCCATTATGAAAATGTAAGAAAAAACTCAGCAAATATATTTTCTAGACTTCGATATTTTGTTAACCATTTCATCAAAACTAAATTTTGATGTGAACTACAAATCCAAAATGGATTTTGAACAACGAAGATAGTGGTATATTGTGGTTTTGGAATTCAAATGTTTTGAGATTTTTCACATCATTGAAAATTTTAAATCCACTAGTCGTAGGTTGCTCATCATTTTTAACCAAACTTGGTTTAAAAACATGCTCCCTAATAAGCTTTTCATGACTTGGCTCTTTACAAATGGATGTATAAACCCCCCCGAGCCATATATGGAATATTATTCTTAGCCATGTTTGATTTGAGAACATGCTCTTTTGTTATGTTATTTTCATAATTTGGCTCTTTAAAAATGGGTTCTTGAACTCGCCAAGCTATTGATGAAGTTACTTTTTCACCAATTTTAGTCATAAAAAACTTGAAAACATTTGGTAAAACCCCACAAAATTCAGTCATTAAAGACTTGACAAGAAGGGTTAATAACTCATATCTTTATGGGCAAATTTCTATATCAAGTTGAGGAATTACTCCAATTAAATGGTGTATTTTTTCTTCTACCAAATAATATGATAATGAAGCAACCTTTAAAAATCGGCTCTTGAACTCGCCGAGCTATTGATGAAGTTACTTTTTCACCAATTTCAGTCATAAAAAACTTGAAAACATTTGGTAAAACCCCACAAAATTCAGTCATTAAAGACTTGACAAGAAGGGTTAATAACTCATATCTTTATGGGCAAATTTCTATATCAAGTTGAGGAATTACTCCAATTAAATGGTGTATTTTTTCTTCTACCAAATAATATGATAATGAAGCAACAACTTGAAAATTTTCTTCATCAAGAAAATAAATCTCTTCTTGAAGGTTCAATTTTTTTTTTCTCGCCAATATATTTCATATTAATAAATTTGAGTGGCAAAATCCAATCCGTTTGTTATTTCTTCTTCTATGCCTTCTTAATTGTGCTCATTTTCTCCTTATCGTCTTCGTCTAGCCATTATAATGATAGTCCCATTGGGCGCGCCAAAAATATATGTTGACATTTTTGGCTTTCGAAGGTTAAAAATGTAATTTAAACGTGCTAACAAAGATCAATAAGTCCTTACAGAAATAATAAATGTCAATCAATTAATCAGACAATTGCTTCGAAATTCTTTTAGCCTCAATGAAGAGGACTTTTATTGGTAGCTTGTTTTTAGGAGAAAATTTAAAAGAACTAATCACAATAGTAAAAGAAGAAGGGAGATAACAGTGTCAGAAAATAAATTTCATTAAGTAAACATACGTTTACAATTGTACCTTCGCACTTCCATAGCTCTGAAGGGGATTACAGCAATGAACAGACTAACTTAGTACTACTCCTAAAAAATTGAAATTCAGTGTGGGAAAGTAAAGGACTAGAAGGTAAATAACTAAAAAGTAAAGAACTGGAAAAATGCAAGATAAAATAGATTGGGTTAAGGATCTAGTTTTGAATCCTGTAAATGTAGCCATCAATGGTTGTTTATAGGAAAAATTTCTAGCAACAACTATCTAATAACCACCTAAAACTATCCACTCTTCCACCTTCATTCCCACAATGCCACATATCACTCCATATCTTCCACTAAGTCACTTTGTCTATCATATTCTTCACATGTGCTTTAACTTCTTCCAACTTATCTTCCATGTTCCACCATGCAAGACCACTAACTTTGTAACTTCTTTTAACTCCTGATTAATCAAGAAATGCCATGTGTCCTACAATAATAATAATAATATTACTGTTTATGGTGTCAACATATTTTAGGCTGAAATTTTTGACTGATGATTTTAGGGTTGGTGGAGTACTTGATCTATTATTCTTCTTTGAAAATTCTTAGGACAATGTTAAGTCGTGAGGTTTATGGTGCATTGTGGTCCTACTTGCCGAGAGCAAAGACACTCGTGTCTTTGAAAAGTATGTGGTCTAAAGTTACTCTTGAGAAGCTGAAACAATTGCTTTACAATGAATATTTTTCGTAGAAATTGCTATTTGGACTGCAGTGTAGTTTCATGTAAAAGTATTGTTGGAACAATCTTCTGTGTATAATAAATAATTAGAAATCAAATCAAACAAATAAAATAAATTACTTACAGAATTTATTTACCGAACCGAATAATTTAAAAGATCAAGTCGAGCGTGTGACACTTTATCCTTAAGACAGATTCGCGTCGCTACGGTGCTTACGGACTAATGGCGTCTATCTTCCAGAATACAATGATCTTCACAAATTGTAGTAGCACTCCAAACAATTTGTACGGCGAACCAAACCTGTGTTCTATACTCTCAAAGTATTCCCTAAAAATTAATATGAAGAATTATACAAAGAAAGAGAAAAATGGGAAGAGAACAGATTTTTTCTTGATATTTTTCAGATCATCTAGACTACTGTAAATGGCCTCTATTTATAGGAAAACAATCTGTCTGAATAGGTAGGTAATTTGAATGAACAAGTGCAACAAGTATAATTCAAATTTCGAACAGATTACGGCTTCCAACTGCAACAAATCTGCTGGCAGTTTTGGATAGATAACTGCTCGGCAGTTTGGATCTGTCCAGGTAGTTTTAAACCTGTAAAACAGTTTTGAATCTGTTGTGGACTAGAAGTGGCACAATTATGGACAGCAATTTGAGTTCAAATTTGGAATTAATTTCCCACAATAATTTTTGGAAAAAAAACAAACAGATTTTCTCCAAAAAATTATTGTTAGAACTGATTTGACCCACAACCCACAACCCACACCTACGCTCGGCGGTGTGGCGCGTGTGTGGTGGTTTGATCCAAGGTTCCATTTGTCCATAACTTTTCCTTTCTACAAACTTGGGGTGCCCCTTGGGGCCCAACCCAAGTGTTGTCATCAAGCTCTCTTAAAGTTTCAAATGTGGGACAAGCCTTACAAGGAAACTCACATTTAATTTTTTAAATGTCCATTCTACGAACCCGAAAACGACGTCGAGTTCCTATTCACTCATAAATGGTTTTGACGAACTGTCTTTACCGTGTGACTTGCCATGCGGCAAGGAACACGCCACATTTTTGGACCCACCCCAAAAGACGTTTGGGAACCACTCAAAATTTGGCTCAAAGTGGGCCCAAAATAAGCCTATAAAACCCCATTTTCCAACAATCCCCCACATGAATGGAATTTGACAGAGAGAAAATGCAACAACATAATCTAATTATAGAGAGTACAGAAATTGGAAATATTCTGCAAAAAATAGGTAATTTTTGGCTTTGAACCTTCCCTTATGAGACACTATCAGATTTACTAGCTAATCAGTGAACACGATGTCTTGAACTGTTCAACTATTTGTGTAAACCAAGACAATAGAATGTATATTACCAGATACAGATTAGTTCTCACTATTGTGTTCATCTTGGCCCTGAACAACCTGCTCTTTCATGAGTGCTCTAGAGAATTGTAGTCCTTCACAAATCTCATAGAACCGGCCCAGTTCACACTCATATAGATGATTCTTATGGAGAATATTCTGCCATGCGCCACTAGGTGTACCTAGATATAAGAATCATTAAAAGTATTACTTAACCTAAAACGCTGCAGACATGACTATTTTATCATAGAAATGGGTAGGAGTTTACCCTACTTGCCTTTTTTTTTGTTTTTTGTTTTGATGACTCGGTAGTTTTCCCCTCCTCTCCAAAGTTCTGAAAAACAATTCTGAACAATGAAGATGAATATCATGAGATCTTCACTGGCAAAATCGAGGTTACCTGTTTAGTCGTATTGTTGACTAGAGGGCACTTTGATACTAAAATCAGCAACAACTCTCTAGAGAATATTCAATAATACAAATACTCAACTTTTTATTTAAAATTTATTTATTTTTGCTCTTTGAGATGAAAATTTATTAATTAAATATTTAAATTTCATTTTGACTATGATATTCAAGGGCCAAATAAGAAAAATCCATGAAATTATATACAACAGTTGACAACATGTGTTAAATTGAACCAAAATCGAATAGTTTAGGGCTAAAATTGATATAATTAAAAAGACAAGGATGGAATTGATTTTTCAGCAATAGTTTGGGGGTAACATTAAATTAGTTAATATCCCAGGTCTTTATAACAGAAAATCTAGGCCATATGAAGCTCTCATTTTGACTAGTAATACATAGAAATAAAAAATGAAAATAACTAAAACTTTACCTCTTCATATGACAATCACAATGCTTTTGATCCTCTCAGGAATCATTAGTTGTGCATTACAATGCTTGTAACTTAGCTTCTTGAGTCTTGGCATTCCATCTTCTTCCACTACCAACTGGTTTAACATTTGCAAATCAATTTCCAACACTTCGAGTTGAGGAAACTTATCTGGTCCTCCTGAGCAAACCATCTTCTTCCCAATGTAGGAGAAAGAACCCAATTTGAGGATGTTCAATTTAGGTAGTTCCTTCAGTGTCACCATTGGATCCTCCACCAAATACGCATTGACAAGTGTAAGCTTGATAAGGTTCAGAGGTAGTTTACCAAGTTCCGAAAACTTGCCCATCGGTATCTGCAGATGCAACTTCCGAAGACTTTCATATCGAGACAGATCTAGTTTTGTTAGAGTGGCTTCTTCGTTTTCATACTGGTGATTAACAGACAACCGTAGGATCTCTAGCTTGTTTGACACAGGTGCTTCTTCTGATAATACCCTGATAATTGAGTTTGTCGGATTAGAGATTCCTAGTTTTCTCAAATTGGGACATTTGTGCAGCCATTCGGCCTCCAAAAGTCGTCCAGGCACCACATACAAGGTTTGGAGATTGGGTAGAGAAACTTCACTTTGACGGAAACTATATTTGCAGACCAGATCACGACAATCTTGTGGAGGCCATTGAATAGATCTTTTGTCGACGACAATATGCCTTAGTTGTTCCATCTCCCAAATAGCTTTAGGAATATGGATACGATGACCAATTTGAATATCCAAGGTCGTTAAATTTTTTAATTTGCCCATGGTTAAGGGCAATTTAATAGAACGATGTTCACATCTGAAGTAACGTAAGTGCCTCAAATTGCCAATTTGATTTGGAAGCTGGAATGGAAGGTCATGGCAATCTACGCTAAGCACTCGAAGAAATCTAGAGCCTTGAAAAAATTTGTTTACTTGTTTCCACTTAGGTACTCTCCTTTCTTTTTCAGGGAAACATAGAATGGTCCGAAGCCTTGAAGTTTGAAAATTAGAAGAAATGTATTCCCAAACACTATTACCGTAGATAGTGACTCTACGAACCCCTCTCATTGCAAAATTTCTGGGGGTTGCATGGTTGTAAGTGCCAAAAAAGTTACTCTCTGTGGCCACCCTAATGCAAACATTGTGTAGAAGATCATGAATACGACAACTTCTGATCCTTCCATCATATTTCCTCCTAGCAACTTGAACGATGTTCCTATTAATCAACTGATCAAGGTAATCTTCTCCCACGTCCTCGGGCAAACGCTGTCCTTTTCCTTGTACAAACCCCTCCGCTACCCATAAGTTAATTAACTGGAATGCAAAGATCTCATAATCCTCTGGAAAAAGTCCGAAATAGAGAAAGCATGGTTTTAAATGAATGGGTAAATCTTTGTAACTCAAAGCCAAGATTTTTGAACACATGTCATCATCCTGACCCATGCTGTCAAGTATACCCTTCCATGCGTGTTCAGTTTTCTCTTTAACCAGCAACAAACCTGCTACTACCACAATAGCAAGCGGCACACAACCACATTTTCCAACAATTTTCCTCCCAAAAGGCTCTAGCTCCTGGAACTTGCCTGTGTCATTAGTAATTTCTAGAGGGTCCATGACCATCTTAGTGAAGAGGTTCCAACTTTCTTCTGGTTCTAAGGGTTGCAACTCATATAGAGAGCTAACCCCACCTATGAGCAACCCTACCTCGTTGTTTCGAGAAGTGAGGATTATTCTGCTACCATTTTCACAATTCGTAGGAATGCCATTTTGAATATCGTCCCAAGCTTGGGTGTCCCATATATCATCAATCAAGATTACATACCTCTTGCCCCTTAGGTATGCGGACAGGTTGGCCTCCACATTCTCTTCCCATTCCTCCCTCTCCAAGCCCACATGTTTTGCTATTTCTTGGAAGAGCTGTGTTACATTGGGCCTTTGAGAGACATAAACCTTTGCCGAACACTGAAACCAATGTTCTTCCTCATTTACATGAGTTGTAACAGAATCAAAAACTTTCTTAGCAAGAGTTGTCTTGCCCAGTCCTGGCATACCAACTATTGAGACTACACGATTCTTCAAATCTGGATCAAGTAATTTGGCCTCCAATGTTTTGATATGTTCATCAAAACCAACAACAATTGGTTCATCACGATGAAGATTATGCCTTCTTTTCTCCCATATGTCTCCACTGCTACTGCCACCACTTCTAGATTCGTAAGCATTTTTGACACGAGGAATATTTTCAACCCTTCTTTTGATCCCTTCAATCTCTGTGGCACATTTATGATAAGCAGAGCCGTGGCATAAGATGCAATTGACACTCTTAAGCCAACTTCTTAAGGACCCGGTCCTCTCGTGGGATGATGCTATATGAGGAAAGTATGTCTCCACAATGTCCTCCACATCGAAAGCGAGTAATCTTATATTTTTCAACAATTCAGCTTCCACTTTGCTTTCAATTTGCATGCTATTGTCATTGTCAGCATCTTCCAGGTATGCTTGGATGTAACCCATCTCATTTTCAATCCATTCCATGTCGTCTTTCAATTTGAACAAGTGGGAACCTTCTTGGATAATTAGATTGCCCAATAATCCTACAGCTTGTCTGAGAACTGCAATTGCGATGGCAATAGCAATTTCTGCCATTTTTCTTCTTTTTTGACTACGAATCAACAAGAAGAGTTCAAGAATTAAAACCCATCAGCTGGGATTGAATAAAGATTTGTAATTTTTAAGCAAAAATAAAGCCTAAACTGAAAAAAAAAAAGAAAAAAAAAGTTGATATCAACATCCAATCTCTTCTTGCCATTTACCTACCATTTATATGTATCAAAGTAGTTATTCATTGACTGTGGGTTCACTCACCATAAGTAAGTTTTTTATTGGTTGGTGATACCACATCATTACTAAATTTTTACTCCAATTCGACTCAGATTGGGCATGGTGGTGAGTGATTGTCCAATCTAAGCCGAACACGTTTTTATTTAGCTTACAAATCAATTTTATTCAATAAACAGGGGTATTCTTGATCTCTTTTTAAACACCAAAACAAAAGAGATCCCAGATGATAAATATGTTCATATGTTGACATATACAATAATCTTACAGCAATTCAACAAATTACAGAGGATTTCTAATCATTCTAATGAAAACAATTATATATAGGTTGAATTATGGCTGCATCATCAATGAAGTACAATAGTTTATACATGCATAAATTTTATCAGCAAAAATTAATAATAGAAAGTTGAAGAAAAAAAATGAAAAAAGAAAGAAAGAAAGATGAAAGAAATATTGAGAGAGTGATTGAAAGAGCTAATACACTCTGTGATTCAATTGTGTATTAAACATGAAGAGAAGGCTCCATTATATAGGAGAGCTAATACAACATCATTATGATACTACATTATGAAAGAAAACATATAAAAATAAAAAGTAGCCTAAAGTTGAAGGCACTACCTAAAGCACTACAATAAATCATCTGATGGAGAAGCACTAACTATTAAATATATATTAATGATATAAGCATGCAGCTGGTACATTAACAAATAGCTTGCTTGATTTCCAATACTCCCCCTCAAGCTACGTTGTAGATATTAATCATTCCCAATTTTTCCGTCAGATCTTCGAAGTGAACGCGAGCAAGAGCTTTTGTGAGAATGTCAGCCGTTTGATAGTTTGTTGGAGTGTAGCTGACTTGAAAAACTCATTCTTCAATCTTTTCCTTGATAAAGTGTCGATCTATCTCCACGTGTTTCGTTCGATCATGATGAACCGGATTCTTAGCTATACTGATGGTGGCTTGGTTGTCGCAGTATGAAACCATGGGATGCTCAGATGGAACCCGTAATTCTTCTAACATCCTGTTCAACCAGATTCCCTCACAGATACCTAGTGCCATAGCACGAAATTCTGCCTCAGCACTACTACGGGCTACCACTGACTGTTTCTTGCTTCGCCATGTAACCGCGTTCCCCCAAACAAACGAACAATAGCCAGAAGTTGATCTTCGATCAGTCAATGAACCGGCCCAATCTGCATCTGAAAAAATCTCAATTTTTCTATTTGTTGTTCTTTGGAAGAAGAGACCCTTTCCCGGTGTCCTTTTTAGGTACCTCAATATTCTGATCACAGCAGTCATGTGTTTTTCGGTTGGATTATTCATGAATTGACTGACCACACTAACAGAGAAGCCGATGTCTGGCCTTGTATGAGAAAGATAAATGAGTTTTCCCACAAGACGTTGATATCTCCCTTGATCACTTGGTGCACTACCGTCACTTTCTTCCAGTTTGATAGTTGTGTCCATAGGTGTGTTTGCCGGCTTGCATCCTAGCATCCCTGTTTCATTCAGTAAGTCTAGAACGTATTTAGGTTTGTGAGACTGCTATACCTTTCTTTGACCTAGCAATCTCCATTCCAAGAAAGTACTTAAGGTTTCCAAGATCTTTAATCTCAAATTCCTTTGTTAGGAATTTTTTAAGTAAGCCAATTTCCTCTTCATGATCACCTGTTAGAATTATGTCATCCACATAAACAATGATAATTGCCAATTTCCCTCCTAGGGAGTGCTTCACAAATAATGTATGATCGGATTGACATTGAACAAAACCGTACCCTTTCATTTTGTATTTTTATGTATTTATTAATTTTTAAAATTTTTTTTTCACAAATTTTTTACTTTTTAAATACATTTAAATAAGGTGCATCTAAAAAAGTAAAAAAAAAAATGTTTAAAATTTTAAAAATATTCACTAAAAACAAAAAAAAATACGAAAACCAAAAAACTCAATTTTCAAAAAACTTAATCCAAAAAATTCAAACCAAACATACTGTTTTTCTGAAGACACAAAAAACAATCAAACAAAACTACAGGTGAGAGTTATGGCTATTTAAAAATAGAGTAATGTTACATCTATTGAATTTGTGCTTGTTTGAATTGTCTGAATTTATGTATGTCGGTTGACACATTGGTCATTGTAGCTGGCTTTTTGCGCTCCTCAGAGGGGTTTAGTCTCCTCGGGTACGATAGCCTTACAGTTCGGACTTCCGTAGTTCTGAATCTGGTTTTACAAGTGCAATGTGAAATAGAAAAAACAAATGAGAGTCCAAATCCGGCAAATCTTATAAAATTCATTAATCATCAGAGTTGTCAAAAATGGATCGCATTGTCAGATTTCAAAGTCGCCACCTAAATATTTTGAAAAATTTAGAAAACCCGTGACTCGTCCCAAAGCCACTCGTCCGTCAAAACCAAAGTGTCTCGGCTCAAGAACTTAGGTATAAGAGGGGAAGGTCATTAATTGAGGACCCCACTCATCCGATCAAAGATTGACCTCTACTAATCATGATGCGATTTTTATGTACATTATATACCCAAGTTCTGATTATTATGCTTACTTACTAGGTGAGACACACAAGTATAGACTATTTCACTCACTTTGAAAAGTTTTGATTTCATGTTTGTTTTGAATATGTGCTACTTGAAAAAACAAGCTCATATGTACATTTATCAAAATCATTTCAACTTAAGAGAAATAGCTTTCATCTACATACATTCAAAGAGGTATTTCAAATAAGCACTTAGTCTCGTGGTAATATGCTTGATATGGTAACACAAACACACATGCGATATGCTAAAACAAAAAATGCTCACTTAGCCAAAGAGAAGAAAATAATTAGAAAAATACATACTCTAATATGCAAGTGACTAATGTAACACATACAAAATGCAACTACTAGGTCTGGTTTATTTAACATGTCATACGGATCAACTCAAAACATGCGGCAAATGCACGCATTCAAGAAAGTAGGAAATGATAACAATGTTAAAATGATGAACCGAACCTAATGCATGCAAAAATTGATACAACACATGGCAATGATATGAAACAAAAAATATAATGCTATCATGATAAGCATATAAATAAAAGGGAGAAAGAAATGGGGGTTGGAAGACATACAAAATATTACAAGTGTTACAAATTTGCTCTGGCATAAGAAGGTCCGAATGAATATCTTAATTAACTAATTATTACAACACTAAATGAATTAACTAAATTAACTAACAATTACAAATTCGAATGAAGCCAACTAATTAATTACACATACTAATATTAAAGCACTAATTTAATGGACTTGAATGTAAGGCGAGGGGCCACATGCGTACAACCGAGAACATCTTCCCGGAAACCTCTCTGTTTGCTACCAGAATCTGCCCTGTTTGCAGTCAGAAAATTATTCTGTTTTGGCCTTAGATTCTGTCCTATTCTGCTGTAAAAATGCCACTACTTGTACAAAATAGGGGGTCGGCCGACTTTGAAAAGCGATCTGTCAACTTTTGTGAAATGCCCTGCTGCCACAAAGTTGAAATAGAGCAAAAACAGTGTTTCCAAGAGATGTTTATCCTCTTTGCCCTTCCCTATCATGAAGCTGATCAAGGGGAGAGTAGATTCAATTCATAAGTCATCAATTGTCGCAAATTTGTTGCGTGATGATCTTAGAACCGATAGGACAAAAGCTTAACAAAATGAAATGAAAGACAAACAACACCTCCTTCCTATCATGGAGTTACCTCAAGAGAAGGGGTAGACATTGCTTCATGAACCATTAAATATCACTAAAGAGTATGCAATGATTCAAGACGCAATAAGTTCAATATAACGTTCAATTGAACATAATTCAATTTTATTACCTTTTTTACCTATTTTTTCTCTTTTTTTTATTAGCCCCTTTTTACATTACCTCTCAATTTCTTATCTTTTCTTCATTTTTGTCCAAAAGTGTAGATTACGTTCACTAAGTCCAAAAGCAATAAAGATAGCAAGCACGACTTGACCCGAGAAATGAGCATGTCAAACCCTTTTCTACGGGGAAATTACAAAAGAAGAATCAAACCCATTTACAAGCGATAATGAATTCTAAGTCAAATCCAAAATGAGCAATAATGACTAGTGAAGCTCAAAGAGAGCGATAATGACTAATCGAACCCAAAGATAATGATTCTAAATCCAAACTTGATAATAAGTTATAATGACACTTTTCTTTGTGATTTCTAAGGGTCTAACTAGAAAGTTAGTCCCTTAGAAGTAATACACTGACGATAAAGAGAAGTATCAAATGAGAAATTGTGCTTAACATAAGAGAGATGTAATGTTCTGGTAATGAACCTCTGAGGAGATTAAACCACTTAGCATAAAAGGTCTTTTTCTTATGCTTTGAACAACAATCTTTCGTTAAATACAACTCTTTATCAAAATAAACAAAGAAAGGAAGGAGATTGTAGAGTGCTAATGGAAAGTGGGTGATTACAATGGTATGAACATGTATGAAAGCTATAAAAAAGTGTAAGAAAAGACTATCAACTCAAATGGATTGAAAGCAATATCCATGAGGACTTACAACAACACATCTATAGTATTTAAAGCATAAATTAGCACACTAAAAAAGCTCTGGAAAAGCACAAAAATAGTGCTGAAAATCAAGTTTTTGAGGTGAAAAAAGTGAGCAAAAATGGGCTAAAGCCAAAGGGTTTTAACAACCAACAAGCCTAAGGAAGGGTGGCTAACCCCTCATCTTTTTGTGACTTAAATCACATATTTCAGGCCTCAAAATACTCTAAAAACAATAAGTAAACACCAAGTAAAGAGGGAGAAAAGATGGTTAAAGAGTTGAAAGTTTACTCCTTTAAAAAGAGGAAGTGCTTCCTAGTTAACAAGCCACAAGTTAAGCACTCTCAAGAGCTGAAATTGTGTTCAAGAATCTCAGCGAAAGGCCTTAAGTTTAGGCTTAGGAAGTGTATGTATGGTGTATGTGTATTGCAAAAGAGGAGGGAATAGTGTTTGACAAGTTATGGCTCTTGGCAAAATTTTCTAACCCCAAACCCTTAGGGAAGGCTTTGTATTTATAGAAAAACACCATCTCACGTCAGAAATATCTGCATAGAGATAGCTGGTGCAAGGCATGCACATGGGGACAGCTGGCTGTCTCAAAATATTTGCTGTCGTTGAACATGGCCGATCGGCCATGAAGGGGAACATTCGGCCAACGAAAGATGGCCTGCTGGCCACTTGCTAGCCAACTCTTCTTTGAGTGGTTAGGCTAGAAAAAAAATAGGTTTTGGTCCAAAGGGGGTACAGGGTTTAGGTTTTTAAAGCCTAAAACTGGAGCCTTTTTGTTGAAGAAATTGAACGATTGTACAACGTAACATTTCATCATCGAGTGTTCAACACAAGGTGCCCAAATCTTAAGGGCGGTCAAAATGGGGTGTCTACAGTCATCCAGGAGGTCATCTGGGATTATGCCAGTCATTCAAGTTGATATCGGTTGACACGCTGGTTGAGAAAGGTGACAGCTGTGGTTGACAAGGATACAATCGCAGTTGATGAGGGTGACGTTGGTCATCCGAACAATTAGCAGTCGTCCAACTTATGTAATTTGAGCAATTTGGACGAGCCCAAATTCAATAGATCAATCATTTTTCTTAAAAATTATGATGTGTAATTGTTGATTGCCTCGTTTGCATAGTAAGATTTATCAATTTTGGTGTTACACATTTTTTCATTAAAATAATTTTGAATTATAAATTGTTATAATCATACATTAAAATAATTTTGAATTATAAATTGTTATAATCATAAATTTTTATTGTAATGTGAAATTTTTTATCTTTTTAAAAATTTTGAATAAAAAACTTTCGTAATACTACTAAAAGATTACGTAATATTTATCACAAAATACATTAAATATATTAGGGGGGGGGGAAAAAAACACTCTGGATAACAATCCAAATTTGAAACTTTTGAGGCAATGGCCCCAACTCTAATTTTTTAGTTTTTTGTCTATAAAGGACTAACAATTTGAAAGACTATATCACCCCACTTATTTCTTTTTCTGTTCACCTATCTGTCTAATTATCAACGTGTCCACTAATTTTTTCATGTGTCCGACCATCTATCTATCCACTATTGTCACTAATAGTTAGCGACTTTTTCAATGAGACGCCTGTTAGGATTAAGGTACACCCAGAAATCAATCACACAGAGAAAAAGACACAAGATATTTACGTGATTCGGCAATTGCCTACGTCCATGGAGAGATTTTGCTATAGAATTTTCCAGAGGGAGTTTACAACACTCATACCTCACTCTCTCTTTATAGCACTCTCACCTCACAGATACACACACTCTGTGTTTTCTTTTTTTGTCTGTATTTTTCTTCTCTTCCTCTCAGCATCTATTTATACATAAAAGAGAGGGAACAAAGTCAAATGAAAGAGTAATTGGGCTGCCAGCTGCCAACTGTCATCTTCCCTTCCCTCTTACTTCTTGACTTGGAGAGCCTACCCATTAACTCCTCTATGTGATGGGTTGGAGCTAACAATTCTCCTCCTTCACGCCCATATGGATAACTGACTTCTTACTTGAAGTCCATCCCGGTCAGATTCTTGCAAACTTCTAGTTTGTCTCTGGTGATAACTTTGGTCATCATGTTAGAAGGATTCTTGTCCGTGTGAATCTTTACCAACTTCATCAACTGTTTTTCCATCACTTCTCGTATCTAATGATACCGGACATCAATGTGCTTTGTACGGGAATGGTACATGGACTTCTTGCTCAGATCAATTGCACTCTGACTATCACAATGCACCTTGTACTCTTCTTGTTGTAGACCTAATTCTTGGAGAAACCACTTTACCACAACATTTCCTTTCCAGCATCTACGGCAGCAATGTACTCTGCCTTTGTTATAGATAAAGCAACACACTTTTGTAGTTTGGACTGCCATAAAACAGCTCCACCTGCAAAAGTGAATAGAAATCCTTATGTAGATTTTCTACCATCAAAATCACCTGCCATATCAACATCTGTAAAACCCTCCAAAATTGGTCAGCTCCCCTAAAACGTAGACACATTTTTGAAGTTCCCTTCAAGTATCGAAGAATCCATTTGACTGTCTCCCAATGCTCCTTTCTTGGATTGACGAGGAATCTGCTTACAACGCCAACTGTGTGAACTATATCTGGCCGGGTACACACCATTGCATACATCAAACTTCCTACTTTATAGCGATCTCGGTTTTTCCTTTATTATTTAATTGTATTCCGGACTCGGTTCCATAGATGAGTTGTTGTCTTATTCCCGTTTCCATCCTTTACTCTTTGTATATGAGTCTTGGGTCGTGTTGGGTAGGTTTGAAATAGGTTGGTTGTGTTTGGAAACCAAGGGTTGATGTCCAGATTTTGGGCTTCACGCTCGAGCGGGGCTTTTGACGCTCGAGTGGACCTGTTTGTATATCAGTCCGAAAAACAGCTTTTGGATCACTTTTTCGGGCCAATCTCTCTCTCTAACTTTTCAAAGCTTATGCATGATTATACTAGATTCATCTCATTAAGTAAAATACATGTACATCAATTAGAAGGTGACTAATTATTGATGAATGCATCTATATATACAATGTATAGAAGACTAATGCTAATACATTAAATGTGATGGATTCATTATGAATGAATCTTAGAGATGCATTATGTATCTATTATGAATATGTAAGATACATTAATCTATCTAATGAATTCATTAATATAGAAGATGCATTATGTATCATGAATGTATGAGATACACTAATCTATTTAATGGAGTTCATTGAATGAATAACTTGAGAGCTTCTCTCTCTATATATATATCTGCTCTCTAAAAATCCATCTAGCTCTAGTGTGTTTCTAGCTTAGTTCCTTTGTAAGAAAGGTGGAGTTTGGCGTGGCCTTCATTTTGATCCGAGAAAGATTACGTTTGGAGCACTTTTGAGTTTCTCTCTTCTTCTCCTTGGGTTCTCCATTTGAGGTAGGGATTTCCTTGCTCTTTTTCAATGCCTCGTTCATAGATAGACATGTGGTAGTTTTGTATTGGATGAAAATCATATCCATGTGGGATTTCTTTGAAAATCATGAAGGGGAAACCTAGGGTTGGTTGTTTAAATATGAGTTTGTTAACATTGGTTGTTATGTGGGCTAATTGAGAAGTAATCTAGCATGATTATTGTTGAAAAAAGAGAAAACCCTAAATTATATTTTGATTTGATAAATTAAAATGGAACATGGTTGGACAATGTTTGTAAATTACTATTGTTAAAGTGGGTTGTATAAAAGTGTTAATGGCTTAGGGATTAACTATGTCATTGGGGTTATTTTGAAATGAGTGTATTGGAATGAGATGAGTCATGGCTTTATTATCCATGGAATTGGTTTTGTAAAATGAAAAGAATGGATTTGGTTTTGTGAAATGGGAAAAGTGTTTTTGGAATAAGTGGTGGAACACGTTGACTTGGAAAATTATGAAAGTTGATCTTGAAAATGGAAGATGAAATGTTAACTCTATGTGAGTCTTGGAAAATAAATATGAGTATTGAACTATTGTATCATAAGTGTTGAATACACACATTTGGGGGTTTTATCTCTAACTATCGTACCAGTGTCGTTGTTGGGTTTAAGATCGCTTGAGAGTTGAGTCTCTTTTAATAGGTGTACTGAATACATGCATCTAGAGGTTTTGTCCTTGGTCATCGGTGGAGGATGACATTGTTGTGTTAAATCGTTGTGTATGTATTACACTTATTGGTTGTGCTTTGTTATATTGAGATGGTTAGTGTTATATACCGCGCTTAGAATAAGGGGTACCAGTGCCTTCCAGCTAGCGCCTGGAGAACTTGGACTAGGTACCATTACCTTTCAGCTTGTGTCTAGAGAATATGGCTAGTCATTTGATCGTAAGGTGTATCCTTAACTTACCGTACTTATGGCAGGTAGAGTAGAGCTTTTATCATCATTGTCTCAGTGTATCTGAGTATGTCATGGGTTACGATGGTTATGGTTTTGCAAGGCCAAGTTGCCTTATTTGTTGATTATACACATGTTAATGATTTGTTATTTCCCTTTTTACTAAAGGCATGCATGTATAGATGTGAATGTGTTGGGAACCGACATAAATAATATTTTATGTTATTTTGGAAAGTGGAAAGGAATTGAATATTTTTGAATATGTTTTGAAAAAGGGAAATTGGTTGTAAGAACGAAAAATGGGGGAAAGTAATGGGCTTGGTGAAACTGTTTTCTAGAATCGTTTTTGAAATGAAAGTTTGGGAAAGAGGGGTAATGAAAAGAAAAGAAAGGTGAATCAGTTTCAGTGTTGAATGAAATGGCTGATTTTGAGAAAAGTTCATACATATGTATATTTTGTATAAACTGTCACCTTACTACTCTAGTATGAGATTGAGCATTCATGATCATAGCTGTCTGTAAGTTGTTATTGTTGAGGACCATGTTGAGATCCCTACTGGACTATATGTTCATCCTACGTTGTTGAATCTTTTTCAGGTGATAATCAGGATGTGCTACAAGATTTTGGATCTTCATATTTGTTGGCCACGAGGCCTCTTTTGTGTTGGCGGAATGCCATTTATGAAAAAGGGTTATACCCTTCTTCTTGACTCTTTAATGATGTAAGCCCAAGGGCAATTTATTTCATATGCTCATGTTGTATTTAATTTGCATACGAATGAGAGAATGATTATTCATTTCTACTAGTCGAACATTTGAGTTTATTTCGGCATGTGATCTCTGAACTTGAATTAAAGTAATGAATTTGGTAATGATTTCGAGTAATAAAAAGTGGGGCGTGACAAAAAGAAATGATGAATGCCATGTTAACCAATTTGGACTATATGTTCATCCTACGTTGTTGAATCTTTTTCAGGTGATAATCAGGATATGCTACAAGATTTTGGATCTTCATATTTGTTGGCCACGGGGCCTCTTTTGTGTTGGCGGAATGCCATTTATGAAAAAGGGTCTTTTTCTTGACTCTTTAATGATGTAAGCCCAAGGGCAATTTATTTCGTATGCTCATGTTGTATTTAATTTGCATACGAATGAGAGAATGATTATTCATTTCTACTAGTTGAACATTTGAGTTTATTTCGGCATGTGATCTCTGAACTTGAATTAAAGTAATGAATTTGGTAATGATTTCGAGTAATAAAAAGTGGGGCGTGACAGTGGAAGAATAAGGGATTGCCTCAATTTCTTTCCTTTCAGAGCTGGTCGTGGGACACGAACGCTTTGTCAACTTGAAGTGGTTGGCCAGTGGTGTGCTGACTGGTTTGACATCTTTGATGTTGAACCGTTCAATCACTCGTTCAACATATTTCTCTTGTGACATCCATATCTTCTTAGCTTTCCTGTCACGAACAATCTTCATGGGCAAAATCTATTGTGCTGGGCCTAAATTCTTCATGTTATAATACTGCAACAAGTCTTTTTTTAACTTGTTGATCATAGCAATATCCTGTCCGATGATCAGTATATCATTGACATACAACAATAGGATGATCAAGTTTCCATCCGAAAACCTTCAGAAATATACACACTGGTCTGCTACAATTCTTGTGTACTCATGATCCACCATGAATGAATCAAACTTCTTATACCATTGTCTCGGCGCCTGCTTCAGGCCATAGAGACTCTTCTTCAGTTTGCAGACTAGATTCTGTTTACCTTTAACTTCAAATCCTTCTGGTCGCTCTATATAGATCTCTTCCTCCAAATTACCATGGAGAAAGACAGTTTTGACATCTATCTGTTCCACCTCCAAATTCAAGCGAGCTGCTAATCCCAGAGCTACTCGAATGGAAGTCATCTTCACAATTGGGGAAAAGATCTCATCAAAATCAATTCCTTTCTTCTACCCAAAACCTTTGACCACCAAGCGAGCTTTATGCTGCAATATTTTACCGTTGCCATCTTTCTTCAATTTGTACACCTATTTGTTTTTCAATGCCTTCATGCCCTTTGGAAGTGAAACAAGCTCATAAGTGTGGTTCTTCTGCAAAGAACTCATCTCCTCCTTCATGCCTTGTATCTAGCAATCTTTCTCTTTATGACATTTTGCTTCCGAAAAACTCTCAAGCTCCCCCTCATCAGTAATCAGAATATATTGAAAAGCGGGATATTTGGTTGATGGCACGACAGCTCTTCTAGATCTCCGCAACTGAGGCCCAATTGTCTCTGGTTGAAGGGGTTGCTCCCCCTGCTCAACACCCTTTTCATCTCTTTCCTCTTGGTCCTCAATTTTTGGCATAAGATCCTGCAACTCTGGCACTTCTTGTTGCACATCATCATATCTAGCATTTTGTGATGGCTTGGGAGATGGGAACAAGTTTGGAGTGATGATATCTCTAGACTTTGTAAACTTCTCAAAATCTACTACTGTCTGGTCTTCTTGGAATACAACATCTTTGCTCTTGAACATCTTTTTGTTCACTGGGTCCCACAACTTGTACCCAAATACTGTATCCGAGTAGCCCACAAATATACATAGAGTGGACTTGTCATCAAGCTTCTATCTGTTTTCCTTGGAGATGTGTGCAAACGCCTTACACCCGAAGACTCTCAAGTGAGAATATGATATCTTTCTTCTAGACTAGACTTCCTTAGGTATTGCAAAATTCAATGAGACTGAAAGCGACCTGTTGATGACATAATAGGCTGTACGGGCAGCTTCAGCCCAGAATGACTTTAGCAACTTTGCCATTCTGAGTATACATTTGACTCTTTCAATAATAGTACGGTTCATCCTTTCTGCCACACCATTGTGTTGTGGGGTACCAGGAATTGTTGTCTCATGCCAGATACGTCTACTAGCACAATATGCTTCAAAAGTATTGGAAGTGTACTCGCCACCATTCTTTGTGCGAAGACACTTCAACTTCTTCGCGGTCTCTCTTTCCACCATTGCATGGAACTCCTGAAAGTGCTAGAATATCTCATTCTTTATCTTCAGGAAATACACCCACAACTTCCTTGATGCATCATCAATGAAGGTCAAAAAATACTTGCGGCCGCCAAGTGACCCCACTTCGATTGGGCCACAAACATTCGAGTATACCATATTGAGCATTTTTGTTTTCCTCTGCTTGTTGAACTGAATGATACTCGATGTTGCTTGCCATAAAGGCAATGATCACACGACTTCAGGGCACTCCCTTTCGATAAGGGTATCCTGGATTGCTTTGCCAACAGATGCAATCCCTTCTCACTCATGTGAGCCAGTCTTCTGTGCTATAAGTCTGGTGATTCCTTGTCTTCTGCTGCATTAAGACTTCCTAGACAGATCTTCGTTTGAGTCTTGTACAGTGTTGAAGACATCTCTCCTCTGGCGATTGTCAAAGCTCTTCCTATCAGCTTCCAACGGCCATTTCTGAATGTACTTGTATAGCCTTGTCGGTCCAGGGCGTTTTCAGAGATAAGATTGAGGCGCAAATCTGGAACATGCCTCACATATTTGAGAACCAGCTTGTGTTCGACATTAGTCTAAATACTAATGTCTCCAATACCCATAATCTTCGAATAACTAGAATTCCTTATTCAAACAATGCCAAAATCTCCAGTGTTGTACGAGCTGAAAAGTTCTCTGTGGGAAGTGGCGTGATAAGATGCAGCTGTGTCTATCACCCACTCTGTATAGCTGTGGTCAGCCACGTAAAGGCAATCCTCCTTTTCACCAGCTACGAGAAGTATTTCATCAGTTGTTGTGACTGTCGTGTTCTCATCTCCCTTTGACTTACTGCTTTGGCCTTTATCTTTCCTGCTTGGGCCGTTCCTCTTTATGTGACCCTTCTGGCCATAGTGAAAGCAAGCGAAGCTAGAGTTACCTTGATTTTTACTGTCTCTGGATTTACTCATGTTGTTCCATCTGCCTCTACTCTTACTTCTTCCTATGCCTCTTCCTCTACCTCTGTCTCTGCCTCTATCTTCTATGACAAGAGTATGGGACTGATTACCTCCTATGTCTTTCCTTATTGTCTCTTCATTGTACATGGTGTCTATGACCATGCTCATGGTCAGCTTCCTCTTTGATGCAGAGTTATTGAGAGAAGCCACCAACGTCTCTCAACTGTCCGATAAAGAACTAAGCAGTAGTATGGCTTGCATTTCATCGTCCAAGAGTATCTTGATGGTTGCAAGTTGATTTACCATATTCTTGAATTCACTGGTGTGCTCGGCGACAAACACACCATTCTTCAACTTCAGATTTACAAGTCTTTTCATTACCAAGGCTTTATTCCGGGCGGTCTTTGACTGGTACATTCCTTCTAACATTGTCTAGAGGACATATGTATCTGTCTCCTAGGCGACGTAATGGAACACACTGTGGTCTATCCATTATTTGATGCAATCGATAGTCTTCCGATTCATCTTTATCCAGTCTTCATCCTTCACTTCTTCCGGTTTAACCCCTTTTAGAACAATAGGGTCAAACAAGTCTTTATAATAGAGGATGTCTTCTATCCGCGGCTTCCAGATTGCATAATTGGAAAGATTCAACTTGATCATGGATCTTGAAGTTGAAGTGAATTCCTCCATCGTCTTCTTACTTTTTTACAGAAACTCTGATTCAAAAATCTAACTGTACGGATCTCTTCGAAATACTCCAAATAGTTGGAAACCATTATTGGCTCGCCAAAATCAGACTTTAAATGGCTTCGATATAGCCAAAATAAGTTCGATGATTCAGATCACTGGATGTACTGTAGCTGCGTAGCACCAAATAACCCTCTTCCTCTGGATCGGGTTGGGTCAAACCGGCGGGTTGACTGGTTAGTCGGTGTGATGACATAGCTGACATGTATCAATACGTGGTGCTGACGTGGTAGACATGTGGCAGTGACATGGTGCCGATGTGGAGCTAACATGGCACTGACGTGGTGCTGACGTGGCAAACACGTGGCAGTGATGCTGGTGTTACGTGCAGTTCACTCGCCTTCCTCCTTCAGCCCTGCATTAGGCACGTGCTTGAGACTAGAATGACGCGCCGATACCATCAACGGCGCGTGTGGAGTGTATCTGAGACTGAAACTCACGCACTTTTTTCAAGAGGCGCATGAGGGCGCGTCACAGCTCGTCTGGTGCTCTTCTTTACAATTTTGGACTCCTCTCGTCGAGATCTTCCTTCTAGTATGCTCAAAAGTAATTTTGAGCAACTTGATTTCTGGGTAGTTTTGAAAAACACACCCTGTTTTTTTTAAAATCAACCAACACGGCTCTAATACCACTTGTTAGGATTAAGGCACACCCAAAAATCAATCACACAGAGAAAAAGACACAAGATATTTACATGATTCGACAATTGCCTACGTCCACGGAAAGATTTTTCTATAGAATTTTCCGGAGGGAGTTTACAACACTTACACCTTACTTTCTCTCTCTATAGCACTCTCATCTCGCAGATACATACACTCTGTATTTTCTTCTTTTGTCTATATTTTTCTTCTCTTTATCTCAACCTCTATTTATACATAAAAGAGAGGAAACAAAGTCAAGTGAAAGAGTAATTGGACTGCCAGCTGCCAACTGCCATCTTCCATTCCCTCCTACTTCTTGACTTGAAGAGCCTATCCATTAACTCCTCCATGTGATGGGCTGGAGCTAACAACGCCAAGTGACAATTGATAGTAGTGTATGGGAATAGAGAGTGAAAGTAGAGATAAAAAATTAAAATAAAATAAAATACAAGAGTAAAAATGAAAAAAAAAATTCTTTAAAATAATGATTTATAATTTGACCAACAATCATGTTTTTAAAATCAAAATGATCAATCATTAAACTTAATACAATATACATCCATAAAAATAAATTTACAGCCAATTTTTTCTTAAAATATGTTATATTTACTCCACATAGCAATCCAAAACTTGAAATTTGCTACGATATTACCGTCCACTGACTATATTCCAACCACAGCAAGTAGATATGATCAAAATAAATTTTTTAAAATAAATTAAATCATTTTAAGTTTGATAGATGGTTAGATTAGGAAAAAAAAGTACAATATTAATTGATGCTTCTTTATTACTCGATATATTCTGTTAAAATTTTATATGAATAAGGGAGCTTAATTAAATAAAGAAAAATGTTAGATATAATTCTAATTTTTATATGTTTTTCTTATTTTAAGACACAAGTAAATGAATTTTATATGTATTTATGAATGCAGTATTAAATAAATAGAGTGAATCAATGTTAAGTACCCTTATTACGTGGTAAAAAAGAGTAATGCTAGGGATATCAAATTTTCTATCAAACAAATGACCAAATGTCTCACATTGGTGTGGGGTCCGCAATTTTGTAGATCCCACACCCATGTGAGACATTTGATCATTTATTTGGCAGAAAATTTGGGACCTCTAGCATTTTCCGGTAAAAAATGTTATGTAGCAAGTTTTATAAAAAAAAAAGGACAAAATTAAGCCTTATATTTTTTACATAAAAATATTAAATATCAACATTTGTCATTTGATAAAAGGATTTTTAAATTGAAAACACAACAGAATATTTAAATTATTTTCAATTGAAAACACAAACAGAATATTTAAATAAATTGAAAACAAAAAGTTTTACAAATTATGAGACGTGCTCGCGATTTGGCAGTTCGGTTGCGATTAAGAGAATCTCAAATCCGCCATCTGTCTAAAGCTAAACGGATTGAAAAAAAATTAATTCACAATCGTTTGCTCGTCATTATGTATCCGTCTAAAATAAGACGAATCAATCTCGTTCGATCGGTTTAGGTGGATGTAAATATTCACTGAACACTCTTAATCCCTAATATTATTATTTTAAAATATAATATTATGAATTGACATGTAAACATCGCATCAGAAAAATAAATAATTATAATTTATTTAGCTCATTGGAATAAGACGGTAACTGTGAGATTGTTGGGATTTTTTTTTGAGATATGCAATCTGATCTAATGGCTGCTGATCAGAATTTTGGTGTTTTTATTTTCTGAATTTTTGGGTGCTATTTGTTGGCTCATTTAAGTGGTTTTCTTTCTTGCTTTGGTTTTTTGTGCTTGCAAATGATTCTCTTCCTATGCCAAGCTAGTTTGGATGGAGTGCACTTGAACCATTATTGATGTTTCTTTGGAGTTGTACTTTCCAATTTCATCAATAATATTATTTTTCCTTGTTAAAAATAAATAAAATAAATAAATATTCAAAGGCATAAAAACTTGGATCTGTTTACAGAACATCTAAAAAAAACAAGGGACATTTACATATAAATTTTAATTTATAAACTTATATTTCATTAAGTCTCAATTAAATTTTTTTGGACTTTCAAGTCTTATTAAATTTTCAATAGTCAGAATTATCTTTCAAACAATAATTATTCATCATTTAAAACTGGAAAAAAAACTGTTAATATTCTCAGTTTTATTAAACAGTTGAATCAAACCAACAAGTAAAAGGACAAAAACGTTTAATTTCATGCTCTGTTTTTTCATCAGTTAGTGAAACAATTATCTTGAACATTACTATGCAAAATTGATAATGTTCTTAGTTTTAAAAATTGAAAAAAATTGATAATATTATCAGTTTTATTAAATAGGACTTATTGGTTTAAAATTTTTTAAATAAGACATAAACTACCATAATATTTATAAATAAAACTTTTAGATAATCAGCTCAAAAAAAGAATAACAAGAAAACTCCTTGGTCCCTAGCCCCAACAACAAAAACATTAAAAACAACCCACTTTTAAAACCTTAAACAAAGTGTAGGTGCAAACAACAACATGATCATACCATATCTATCATCCTATATGTTATTATTGCATTGGTTTAATCGGTCTTACTACTCATATCTGCTACAAATACGATGATGATACATTACATGGTTAAAAAAATATGATACACAAATACAGTATCACGACATTATTAACAAAATTGTATATTTACAAGCACACAAACAGACTATATTTTGTTTACTGTGACATCACTGGATTGGTAATAGACATAGTGCCACACTTGTCTATTACCAATGAAATGATGTATAATAAAAAAGTAGGCATCATAGTATTATATGCTTTTTTGTGATTTCCCTAACTTCTCCTCTAGCTATCCAACTTAGCTGCACACTCATCTGTCTCTCTGTACATATGCTTTTGTTGGATGTTTGCATTCACCTAAGTCATCCACCTGCATTCATCAACCAATGTAGCATATTCATAGTAAGAAAGAACTGTCATTATAAATCCCATATCTCTATAGGCTATATGAAGCCCCCATTTTGAATAGTAATTTTTTTTAAAAAAAATTCAAAAATGAAAAACGAAAAGATATATGAGGGGGAAACCAAAGTGCAACAACTAAAAATTACCTTTTCGTCTGGCAATCGTAATGTTTAAGATCCTCTTTGGAATCGTTAGTACGCGGATAAAATCGTACCTTAGCTTATTAAGTCTTGGCATTGCATCAACTTCCACTACCAGCTCGTTTAGCGATAACATAACAATTTCCAATACTTCGAGCTGAGGAAATTTATTCGATCCTCCTGAGCACACCATCTTCCTCCCCTTGTAGGACTTAAAACCCAATTTGAGGATCCTCAATTTAGGCAGTTCCTTGAGTGTCACCAATGGGTCCTCGTCCAAGAAAGTACACACAAGTGTAAGCTTGATAAGGTTTGGAGGCAGTTTACCATGTTCCGGCAACCTCTTCATGTATATTTGCAGATGCAACTTTCTCAGAATTTCATATCGAGACAGATTTAGTTTTGTTAGATTTACTTCTGAATCGCCCAAAATGTTCCACAACCGCAAGTTTTCTAGCTTGTTTGACACTGGTGCTTCATTTGATAATACCTCGATAATTGGCTCCGTCACATAAGAGATTCCTAACTTTCTCAAATTAGGAAAGTTGGGCAGCCATTTAGCCTTTAGAACTTGCCGAGGCACCACATACAGGGTTTGGAGATTAGGCAAAGAAACTCCATTTTTATGGAAACTACATTTGCTGACCATGTGAAGACAACCTCGAGGCTGTAGATTAGATTCTTTGTATAAGAGAATATGCCTCAATTGTTTCATCCTCCAAATAACACTTGGAATATGGATACGATAACTTCGCACATCCAAGGTCATTAAATTTTTTAATTTGCCTACGGATGAGGGAAATTTGACAAAGTGATTTTTGAATCCAAAGTAATTTAAGCGCCTCAAATTGCCAATTTCATTTGGAAGAGGGAATGAAAAGCCATGGCCATCTACGCTTAGCACTCGAAGAAATCTAGAGCCTTTAAAAAATTCCTTAACTTGTTTCCTGCTAGGTGAGCTCCAGTCTTTTCCAAGAAAAGATAGCATGGTACGAAGCTTTGGAGTTTGAAGATTAGAAGAAATGTATTCCCTAACACTATTACGGTAGTTTGTGACTACGAACTTTCTGTGCAGAATTAATGGCAGTTACATCGTTGTGAGGGTTAAAGAAGTTACACTCGGTGGCCACCCTAATGCATAAACTGTGCAGAAGATCATGAATACGACAAGTTCTAATCCTCCCATCGTATCTCCTCCTAGCAACTTGAACCATGTTCCTAGCAACCAAATGATCAAGGTAATCTTCCCCCACATCCTCAGGCGTGCGCTGTCCTTTTTCTTGTACAAATCCCTCCGCCACCCATAAGTTAATTAATTCGAATGCAAAGATCTCATAATCCTCTGGAAAAAGCCCAAAATAGAGAAAGCATGGTTTTAAATGAATGGGCAAATCTTTGTAACTCAAAGCCAAGATTTTTGAACACATATCATCGTCTTGACCCATGTTGTCAAGTACTCCCTTCCACGCATGTTCAGTTTTCTCTTTACGAAGTAGCAAACCAGCTACTACCACAATAGCAAGTGGTACAAAACCACATCTTTCTACAATTTTCCTACCAAGAGGTTCTAACTCTTGGAACTCAATCGTGTCGGTGGTAATTTCCAGAGGGTCCATGACCATCATAGAAAAAAGGTTCCAACTTTCATTTGGCTTCAAGGGTTGTAGCTCGTATAGAAAGCTAACCCCACATATGGACAAGCCCACTTCTCTGTTTCGAGAAGTGATGATTATTCTGCTACCATTTTTACAATTTTTAGGAATGCCATTTTCAAGATCATCCCATGTTTGGGTGTCCCATATATCATCAATCAAGATTACATACCTTTTGCCCTTCAAATATGCAGAAAGATTGGCCTCCACATTCTCTTCCCACTTCTCCTTCGCCAAGCCCACTTGTTTTGCTATGTCTTGCAAGAGATGTTTTACATTGGGCCTTTGAGAAGCATAAACCTTCGCTGAACACTGAAAGCGATGGTGAAAATTATAGTCATCATCATTTACAACCGAATCAAAAACTTTCTTAGCAAGAGTCGTCTTGCCTAGTCCTGGCATACCAGCTATTGAGACCACATGACGTTTCAAATCAGGATTAATCACTCTAGCCATCAATGTTTTGATATGTTCATCAAAACCAACTACAATTGGTTCATCATGATGAAGGAAATGCCTTCTTTTCTCCCATATGTTTCTTCCACTGTTGTTGGTACTATTATTGGTTCCATAAGCATTTCTAACGCGAGCAATATTTTCAACCCTTCTTCTGATCGCTTCAATCTCTACAACAAGGTTATGAATTGCAAAGCCATGGCATAAAACACAAGTGGCACTCTTAAGACAACTTCCCAAGCACCCTGTCCTCTCGTATAATGATCCTATACGAGGAAAGTAAGTCTCCACAAAGTCCTCTACATCGAAAGCTAGGACTCTAATATTGGTCAGCAAGGTGGCTTCCACTCTGCTTTCGCTTTGCTCGCCATTAGCATCATCAACATCTTCTAGGTATGCTTGGATATAACTCATCTCATTTTCGATCCACTCCATGTCTTCCTTCAACTTTGACATGCGACAACCTTCTTGGACAGCTAGATTGCCCAATACTAGTATAGTTTGTTTGAGAACTGCTTTAGCGGCGAAAACGGCAATTTCTGCCATTTTATTTTTTCTTCTTTGGCTACAAACCACCAAGAAGAGTATAAGAGATAAAATCCATTAGCCAGTGATTTTGAAGTCGAAAACCAAATTGAAATCAATTCAACTTGGATTGGGGAGTGTTGTGAGCTACTGTCCAATACAAACCGAACACGTATGTTGATTTCAGAAGGAATTTTGGCTTACAAATCAAATTTTCTTCAATAAATGGAGGGGTCTTGATCTCGTTTTCATGTTTTGTTTTGGGAAGTTAGTCAAAAGTTTGTTTTTTTGATTTTTGATTTTTGATTTTTTTTAAAAAAAGTGTAAAAAAATAGAAAGATAATATGACTCGAACTTTTAATTTTTAGTCATCTTCCCAAATTACAGAAGAAGATTTCTTATTATTTTAATGAAGCAAAATTATGTCTAGGTGAATTCCTCTGCATCATCGCAGAACTACAATATATATTATTTTAGAGTAAATTATAAATAGAGATTTAAGTGAAATACTAATTGGCCCATGAAAATTATATTATTTCCTTTAAAATTTCTAATCATATAACAAAAAATCACTTTTATTAATTAATTATTAATTCAATTAATAATTTTTGACGATGTCAATAATATATTTCAATTAATGATTTTAATAATTTTATTGTTGTATATAAGAAGACAATTAGAATTTATTTTTATTTATTTAATTTTTTTCAATCAACTCTTTGAATGACAAATTCTGACAGGTATATTTGTAATTTATTATTTATTTTATTATTTTATTTTTATTGTTTTTACATGACAGCCAAAAAAAAAAAATAACCACCCTCAGTCACTTCTTCCAACAGAGAAATATTAAAAACGACCCTTTAATCAAATTATTATTATATTTTTTTAATAAAACCGGCCCAAGGAACAATTCAACAAACACCAGGTTAGACCATTCAACGAAGTAGTTTAGTTAGGGATAAACTGCTAAAAGGTTCTAATAGTTAGATTTAATTATCATTAATTTTTATTAAAAATAGGTCCTGACAAAATTATAAATAATTTTTTGTGATGATTTTTTGCATATGTATTAGTGATTTTTTTTTGTCACGGTTTTTATAAATTGTCGCTAAAACTTACAATTAGTAATATTGTTTTGCGATAAAATTTTTAAACTGTCGCTGAAATTGAAAATTAGTGCCGTTTTTTTTGACGATTTTTTTAAATTGTCGTTAAAACTTATAATTAGTGACATTTTTTGTGACAATTTTCAAACTGTCACTGAAAATTAACAATTAATGACGTTTTTTTAATAGTGTTTGATGAAGAATGTCATTACTTCTACAGGACCTATTGGACAATAAATCTATATATTAGGATTTACACATAAATTTCCTTTTAGCTAATTTAATTATTTATTTTGTTATAATTGAAGTACTTTTATTTCTATTATCTTCGTTATGTTACACACTAATTATCTTAAAAGTTTAAAATGCGAGGACTAGCTCTAACAGCGTAAGTGTTCATCGTTATTTAATCTTTTTAAGCTTCAATTTTTATCATTTTGATCTTTAAAATTGTCAATTTAAATCAATTTAGTATTTAACTCCAATCATATTGTGCTATATGTCTATTTATCTTGAATATTGTGTGAGTGATTTTCCGATCACACTGTCCAACTCAGTACTCAGCTGGAGAACACTGGCAGAATAGATGACACCTGGCTAACCTGTAACAGAAAGAGAAGGTTCCGACAGTGGTTCGTCCACCCGGGGGCACTCTGACGATTAAGTCAGTATATCTCTCAAAGACAATCAATAGTGCTTAACTCACTAGACAGAATATAAATTGCGTACCTTAGACCCATGGAGGTGTCCCTCTTTTATAGTTACTTCAATCCTAATTCCAATAGAAGCCTGACTTCTATGGATTCCTGTTTAGTACTTACTTTGGACTCCTCAAGAGATAAAGATTAACTCTCTAAGGGCTTTATCCTTATCTTGGCTAAGTCTCTTCTTTATTCTAAGACTCTTGTCCTTTATCCGCTTATTTCAGATTCCGATATCTTTGAAGATAACCTCGGCTTAACCGAGATGACCTCGGCATAACAACCAGGACACGTGACACATCGGCTGACACGTCGGCGTCACCTTGGCCACGTGTTGGTACTCAGAAAATATATCCCCATAACTGTCCCCTAGGTTCTATTACCTCGACATTCTGAGGTGATGGAACCTATATCATTCCTTCCTTCTAGTACGTCGATTTACAGTATCTCAGCCGAGATCATTATGTTGGCCGACATGTCTTTAAAGAACAAGAACTTCAAGAACCCTTTCACGCGTATGAGCTGTCATACACTACAATTCAACCGTTTCAGCTACGTGTCCCTTTCTTATTGGATTGTACTTGGCACGTGCTTCATAATCGTCTCGCACATATGTGCGCCGTCTGACGCATTCGCTGTCCCAGGCGCATTAATTATCCTTTTTTGCCGCTGTTTCAAGTTTTTGACAAAACTTGTTTCCTTCTTTTTCCGTTTCTTCACTTTTACATCTATTCCTTTGCTTTTTCTCTCTCTAGGTCTGAATACGCCATTGTTCTGGATCTCAAGCTCTGCAACTGCCCTCATTCTTCTTTCTAGTGAAGCTTCCGCCGTTTCTGTTACTTCTGTAACCATTGTCTGACTTCAGCGATCCTTACACCGGCTTCTTTTCTTCGGTAAGTTTATTGTTCCTTTCATTTTCCATCCTTTGATGCTTTTTATTACTCAATGCCATTATTGCATTTGTTCAAACCTTTAGCTTGTGAATCATCCATCTGAATATGTTTTGTCCATGATTTCGCCCTTTGCCCATACCTTGAACACACGCACTGTTTCATCACTTCCCTGTATTTTTGCCACTGTTCTTGGCCCTATACTTCTTGTATTCTTTATGCTCTTGATAGACCATCTCTGTTCTTGATTCTGAAACTCGTTCTTGTTTCTGTTTTTTGTGTCTTTTCTAGATTCATATCTTCAACTTTGTTTCCATAGACTTAGGTTTGGAATTTGCCTGTAGAATCCACAATTTAGGGCAAAACTGAAACTTCCTTTACAAATTTCTGTATCAGCTCAAACCTAGGTTTTTGCCGAGGTCCCAACAACCCTTTTTGAAACTTCTTCTTACTGAAATCCAATACCTTTAGTTATCCCGATATCATGGGTATGTGGAAACATCGGGTAGATACCCCCTCTAAGCTAGAATTTTTTAGGCAAGAGTTTGAAATCCCAGCCAATGTCAATCTGAGGTTGACTGGGGATGATGACTCCGTCATGCCTACAAAAAACTCCATGCCCTTCCCTGTGGTTGCCTTTATCGAGTGTGGACTCCGGTTTTCACTTGACCCTTTTTTTCGTCAAATCCTGCACTTCTATAAGTTGAACCAATGCAACTCGCCATCAATTCTTACTGAGTTATTACTGGTACCATAGCTTTAGTTAAACAAGAGAATGCCAGGATTACGCTTGCCGATTTCCAGTATTGTTATACCATGTGTCGCCTTAGAAAAGACACGGATTATGTCTATTACCTCAAGCCGAGATCCACCGAATATAAAATCGTAGCCGACCTCCCAGACTCCAACAAGGGAGTTGGAGATGATTACTTCATCGTCTGAGCAATTGGGAGTTTCAGCCAAACGATGACCTCCATCTTTATCCCTTAAGCCGAACTGTTTTGGGGGAAGGAGCTGGTAAGGGCCACCCTTCATAAGTTTTATTATCTTCTTGCATAAAATTTTCAATATTCTGTTCTAATGTCTGTGCTGTTCTATCTTTGCAGTTCTTCCTCAGCCTCCAAAGAACTTCCGTCAATCCTTCTTCCCCAGCAAGGATTTGAAGAAGCTACTGAACCTGCCAGTTCACAAACGAAAGGCGCCTTTGCTTCTCAATTTTATCCCAACCTATAAGTCAGCTTTGCTCGACGTCCCTAAAAGGAAGAAGAAAAGCCTCTCTCCTCCTTCTGCCACAACTACACAGACTACGTCTACATCTCGGATAGATCAAGGGTTAACTTCCGATCCAGCTGATCAGTCATCAACCTCGGCTCCATACTTAATTCCAATATCACAACGCCGCCGCCGACGCCGAATAGTTTCTACTGCCGAGATGGGTCGCCCAAAACCGGTTGCAAAAGATCTTCTGGCCAGCATTCCATCATCCGTTGACAATCAACCAGCACAAACCCAACCTCCACTGAAGCCGAAAAGAATAAAGAAGGCTCAACCAAAGGCTAAGGTAACTCAGGTTGAGTCTAAAGATACCTTGCCTATCTCAAAGTTGGCTGAGAGTGACAAACCTCAACCCTCTGCTGGGAAGAGACGCTCTGAAGCCCAACCATCAGAATCCCCAAAATCCAAAAAGCCGAGGTCATCATCCGCTACAACTTCGGGGTCTAAAAAGAATGATGCCCCCTAGTCCCCAAAAATTACTTTGGAGGATAAGCCAGTCCTTGCTATCGATAGTGCCGATGGCATAAATGTCGGCGTAGCGCTTAGTACCGCTTTGCTTCTGCCCGGCGATCTTAATTGCAATGCCGAGCTGAGCGAATATGAAAATTACGCTCTGATGCTTCAACGCTTCGTCCAAGTAAGTATCTTCTACTTGGTAATTTTCTTCTTTCTTTTATGTACTTAGAAAATTTTGCAATAACTTTTACCTTGTGTTTTTTTCAAGCCATCCAGCATGCCCACTCTTTTTCTGTTCAATCTTTTGAAAATCGACAGAAGCTGGCTGATATGAAGAGAGAGTTCTCTTCTCTCCAAAAAGCAATAAGAATTTGCAGTCAAAGATGAAAAAGTTGGAGGACCAAGCCGAGGCTGCAATCAAAGCCCAAACTGAAGCCGAAGAGAAGGCTGAATCTTCCGAAGCCATCAGAAAGGTTGCTGAGTCCCAAAGAAAAGAGGCTGAGGAGAAGATGGCCCAAGCCGAAAATGAGCTTCAAGAAGCCTTGGCCACCAAAGAAGCTGAAATCAAAGACGCCGATGAAAAGGCGTACACCCAGGGCATGGCCGATGTTACTGAGGCTTATGAAAAACAGGTGAAGTAGGCATGCAACAAGGGTTTCACCCTTGGTTGGATGTCCCTTCTAAAAAAGCTCAACGTTCCTGAGGACTCGCCCTTGAGAAAAGCCGACTCCATTTCTCTTCCATTCCCTCCATCTCCACCTCTAAGTCAAGATGTCGGCGAATCTGAGTCTGAGGAT